TCCCATCAAAGGATGGACATTGTAGCTGAGGTCTAGAAGCTGAAAAGGAACTACCATGCCAAGATTGGCAGGATGAAACTCCAGGCAGAGGGGACCATAAGAGCCATGGCCTTGAGGAGGCAATGGTCTCAGCATTCTTGAGGAACAGAGGTAAGGCCAGTGTGGGAGGAGTTGAGCCTGCCAGGTAAGAGAGTGAAAGTGATGAGCACAGGGTTATAGACTCTGCCAGTTCACATAGGGCCCTGTATGTGACGGCAACAGTTTGGGTTTTATCCTAACTGCAGTGGAAAGTCATTGGAGAATTTTAAACAGGGAAGTGACCTGATCTTATTTATATTTTTTTCAAGACCACTTTGTGGAGAAAGTATTGTTGGGGGAAAAGTACGGAAGCACAAGTGTCAGTTGTAAGGTTCATGCTTCAGTCCAAATGAGAAATGATGGTGGTTTGAGCCAGGCAGTGGAGACAAAGGGTTGTCAACAGATTTGGGATTTATTTTGGTGGGAGAACCAACTGGACTTGTTAATACATTGGCTGTTTGGCAGGGGGAGAATCAAACAAGACTGGTAATTTGGGGGCAATTAGGTGGATGATGGTAGCATTCGTTGGTGGAAGCTAAATTTCAAAACACGGATACCATCTGCCTATTTATGTCAATATTAATCATGGCATTTGAAGAGATCATCTAGGGAGAAAGGGGAAAAAGAGAATTGCTTGAGGATTAAGTCAGGGGCACTCATGTTTAGAGGCTGAGCAGAGATGGAGCTGGCAAAGGATGCTGGGAAGGAGCAACCAATGGGGAGGAAAAGCACGTGAGTTCGGTGCTGAGGATGCTCAAGGAAACAGGCGCAAGAGCAAAAGTGGTCAGCTGAATCAACTGTTGCTGTGAGATTGCTGAGGACAGAGAAGTGACCATTGGATTTGGTACTATGTAAGTCACGGGTAACCTTGACCTCCTAGGCTCCAATGGGGAGGAATGGATGAGAACCCCAATACCCATCCTCACAATGACCATCCACCCTGCCTAAACTCACCATCTTTGGCACTCCAGAAAGACCACACCCTATGGACCTGCAGACCTGGGTTTGCATTCTGGCTCTTCCACTCACGACCTATGTGAACTTGGGCAACTCATCAATCCTGTCTGAGCATTAGTTGCCTCTTCTGTAAAATGGATATAATTGTGTCCTATAGCATTGTCATGGATGTTGCTGGATTACTTTTACCATAATTGTCTGTCCTATGTTGCTTGTCCAGTACACTCCAGGTGGGCAACCTCCCCCCTTCTCTGTGGAACTAGCACCTCTGCTTGACATGCCTCGATGCAGAATCACCTTGCCTAACACAGTACCTAGCATGAGCTACAAGCTCAAGTAAATGTTTGTGTTGACAACTGAATGAGAAATATCTGCAAAGTATCCACAGAAACCCTCAGAGAATTAAAGAAAAGGATAAAATGATCAGTTCCTTCCTTCTCTCTCTCTTTTTTTTTTTTTTTTTTTTGCAGAGGAAGATTCACCCTGAGCTAACATC